AAAAAAAAAAAAAAAAAAAGAGTCAAAGATCAAATGTTTTCACTCATATGGGGAAGCTAGAGAGAGAGGAAAAAAGGAGTAAAGAAAGGGAATCTTACAAAAGTAGAAGGGAGACCAATGGAGTAGAGGAAGAGGATTGAGAGGGAGGGAAGAAAGGAGGATATGGGAAAGTACTAGGGAACAAAATATACCAAAATTATGTGGTATCCATACAAATACATAATGAATCTCACTTATATATAATTATAGCACATTAATTAAAATAATAATAATAATAGAAGGGAGATCAGTAGACTAGAGCACACAGATCAGTGGGAGGAAGGAGAGATGGGAAAGGGAAGGTACTGGGAAATGAGATTAGTCAAATTTTATCATTCACATGTACAAATCCCACTATTATGTATAATTATAATGCAACAGTAAAACAATGTAAAAAAAAGAAAGTCCTTTTGCTGTTGCTTCATCTCCTCTCTACTTCTGCTGTATGTTGTTACATAATCCAAGACTACAGCTATTTTCTCCTTTCCCTTAATAAGCATATTCAGTGATCCCTTCATAATTCTCCTGTTATCTAGTGTCATTTAGGTCTATGAAGATAATAACAAAACTTAATAATTAGTTATCTTGAGCAAAAGCTTTATCTACTATAACCATTAGATTAGAACAATTATCAATGAGGTTCTTGGCAGAGTCAAGGCCCAGAAAGATCTAGATGGCTTCAAACATTCCCATTTCCACCACTGGCCAAGCATTTCAAACATCTCCAGATCATATAATAAATATATATCTATACACAAAATCTAGAATTCAATTGTGAGCTGGAGAGGAGACTGAACCAAACCTGTGTTACTGACCAGATTTCACTTACCAGGCCAACTGGGGTTCCTTGAAAGGGTGTAACCCTGCTGATACAGCCAAGCTATGATTCCAGGAAACCATGTGTGCAGGAGGTGTTAGGCAGATGGATGGTGGGAATGTGCCTAAGACTTACAAGGGAAGCAGTAAATGTTTGAATAGCACAATTTCCCTCCTAGGTATCCTCTCCCACTATCCCTGGAAGCCAGGAAAATCAGAGAACCTTAGTTCCATCTGCTCTTGTCCTTCTTTCATCCTCTTCTACTGAGCTTAGGCCTGCTTGTTCCATCTCTTACAAACTGCTGTTTCCTAGGCTGGCCATCCCTCAAGAAGGCAAGTTCCTCAACTGCACCTTGGTTCAATCATGAACATCCCTTCAATTAATGTTTGTGCCAGTTGCTGTGCTTGCTTGGCTCTAGGAAAAGTTCTTTCCAGAAGACTAGGCATCAAGCTAGCTATGGGAGCGCTTGGGAGTAATAATGTCACTTCCATTATAATTTTCCATTATAATGGCCATCATTATCCTTGCCCTCCAAAAGCATACAGGATCATCCTGTCATCTGTTGGTACCGTGAGTTATACACAGAGAACCCTGTAATTTCCACAGCATCCATCCAAGGCCATAGATTGAGACCACAACAACAATGTGAAAACTTTGGAGAGAGGGGCTTTTTAAATACTTGGCCAGGACATTTTTAAATGGGGATCAGCAGAATTTCAAGAGTTCAGGCCTTCTTACCACCAGGAGAGTGGGAGCACACTGTGGTAATGATCTTGAGAAAGAAGCAGAAAGGGACAGCAATCCCACACCTTCAACCCAAACCACTTCCCCCCACCCCCAGCACCTTAGATAAAGGGCCACTAAAAATCCCATGCAGGGCTGAGGATATAGCTCAGTTGCTTACCTGGCATGCACAAAGCCCTGGGTTGAATCCCCAGCACCACATTTAAAAAGAAAGAAAGAAAGAAAGAAAGAAAGAAAGGAAGGAAGGAAGGA